TATATATATATATGTATATATATTTATATATATATATATATATATACTAGTATTTAAAAAATATTCAACTAATTATTTCATTATACGAGGTTATATTATATTCTCGTATATTATATTTTTTATTCTTTCTTTATGCTACCATGTAGATCTTTTCCGATAATATACTGAACTATTTTGTTTAATTTTCATTGGTGCCTAAGTTTTTCTTTAAATTAACACTTGTTTTAAGTAATTGCTAAGTTTTTTTTTTCGAGTCTCAGAATTATAGCCATTTAGCTGATAAGATTTCAAGAACATTTTCAAAGTTAAAATCAATCAGTGCAAAACGTCTGACTGATCTCAGTGCATAAGTTCATCCTTTTTTCTAAGATTGAACAAATAAATCATATATTTATTTACTTTATCGTTTTTTATTTGTTTGGTCTGTGAAAAGTAAATAAATTTAAGTGCAATTCAATAGACCACAACTGTTTGCTTTTTTTATCTGAGCGAATTCTAACCGCATTTTTATTTTGATGTTTGAACTTATATATTACACAGGTAATTTTGAGAAAGCTTCTCTTTTAAAAGAAGATGTTGAGAAAAATTACTTTAGTTTAAATTATTTTCTTATTTTGCATGATTCCCAAGATATCATTATAGCATAATTTGCTATTAGAAAAATGCTTTACTTTGTTAAATAGCAAATACTAGAAATTGAAATTTGTAGAAAGATTTCGAAACCGTACCAATTTTAGAATCATCATCTGATTTGAAAAACGTAATAAAAATGCCGCGAAATCATTTTAATTTATAAGATAAATAACATCATTTGAGTTACATTTGTAATTACCAATACCAATACATTGACAAGTATAAATACCAATTCATATACATTGCAAAATTTCATATCAACTTAGATAAAAAAAGAAACAGTATAGTTTATCATTGTTGCCAAACAATCTTATCTCATAGTGGAAATTCGACAGACAAAAAAAGGTTACTAAAATTTTTCACTCTACACACATAACTTTATGGAAAAAAAACACAATTGAAACAAAAAAAAATAAGCTACACAATAAAAAGATATAGTTAATGAAGAAATAGTACTAATTCGTGTAGGAGAAGTGTAAGAAATTGGCTTACTGTTAGTGGCACTAGTGATGCGTAATTAATTTTGGAAATTATTGGTACAGTTTCAGTAGATATCAAATTTACTTACATAGATGCAATGTATTATATTAATATAGATGCAATATATTATATTAATATATTTGCATCTATAGCAATATATTATATTAATATATGCAATATATTAATATAATATATTCGCATATATATATGCAATATGCAATATATTCAATATATTATATTAATATATTGCTATATGCAATATATTATATTAATATATTTGCATATATTAATATATTTGCATCTATCACCTTGAAAGGGGTAAGTACTGGAGAAAATCGCTCGGTAATAGTTAATTTTTACTAAATTGAGTCATTCCAAATAATACCGAATACAGTAAATCATTATTTTGATGGGATGAACTTTTAAAAACATTTTTTTCTTAACTTAATTTAATAACGTAAAGCCTCTGGAAAGTACAAAATATGATACTTAGACAGAAAAAATTAATTTTAGGTTTATTAATTGTATTGATTTGTGTCTAGTTTTGTGCATGATTTCGTTGTGTTCTTCAGGATTGATTTCTTTCTTTTTTTTCTTTTTCACTGAGTATGAAGAACAAGTATTCAGTTCGTCTCTAATAATAAAATAAAGAGTTTGTCTATGTTTTTTTCTCCTACAACTCCAAAACTATTCATGCTATAGTCCGGAAGTTTAGACAGTGCCCGTTGTACTGCCCGTTTCCTCCCCGGTTCTAAAAATACTTTAAAAATTTCAATTGGATGATTCGAATGGAATCATCGTATGGAATTTTCTCATTGGTTCGAAACTTTCCATTAATAAAAATGAAGCTGCAGACGATTCCATTTTTCTGAATGTTTTTAAGATTACATCATTGATATTTACTAAATTATAGTACTCATTAATAAAAGCAGTTTATTACCTGTTCCAAAATATTTAATAGTGTTTTATTTGATTTATCAGATAAGCTTAGTGATCAAAGTGAATGGGGCAGGAAAGTGGTTTAGGTCGCCAAACTGACATTTCTAGAGTTATTATCAGAAAGCACATTTTTTTTCGTAGTTATACTTTTAAAACGTGTTTCCATTAAACTCAACAATTTTAAAACATTTGTAACTGAAATAAAAAAGTGAGTAAAATTAATGGAGAAATAATAATTAAGAGAAATAATTCGCTAAAGAGAAGCGTAAGCTGTAACTGCAATTTACGTCAATGATGCTTGTGATAATATTTTCGAATTAAATCAAAAATAATAATTAAAATGAATGAGCAAGAATAATAATTGAACTAATTGAAATAAAAAAGTGAGCAAAATAAATAGAGAAATGGTACTAATTCATTTAAGAGCAAAAAATCACCATTAACACAATGGTACTTGATTAATTTCGATTGTCGGAACCAATTAAAGTTAAAAAAAATAAGCAACGAAATAAAGAGCAAAATTTATGGAAACATTATACTTATTCGCAAAAGAGAAGCGTAAGTTGTAACTGTAATTTACGTCAATGATGCTTGTGATAATATTTTCGAAATGAAACAAAAATAATAATTAAAATGAATGAGCAAGAATAATAATTGAATTTATTGAAATAGAAAAGTGAGCAAAATAAATGGAGAAATGGTACTAATTCATTTAAGAGCAAAAAATCACCATTAACACAATGGTACTTGATTAATTTCGATTGTCGGAACCAATTAAAGTGAAAAAAAATAAGCAGAGCATTAAAAAGCAAAATTTATGGAGAAATTGTACTAATTCATTAAAGAGAAGCGTAAGCAATCACCATACGTCAATGATTACGCCTTATTTACGTCAATGATGCTCATGATGTTTTCGAATTGAAATAATAAAATAAGCCATGTACTAAACAAAACTAAAGGAGAAACAATTCCAATTTTTTCAGACGAAAAACCAAAAATCGCCATACCATTATTAAACCCAATGTTGCTTAATTAATAAATTTTGGTAATATGCACTACTAGTATTATGGTAATTGGTGCAGTTTTAAAATGTACCAAATATATTAATACAGGTACAAATAGTATATTTGGTGCCTTTTTAAATAGTAACAATATTGCTGTGTTTTAATATAAATGCAGTGAAAAGAGGTTTTTTTACGGACCCTCGAAAGGGATAAGTATCCGAGAAAATTACTTGATTGCGGTAAATATTTATTAAATTTTCACCTCGAACAACACCATCATACCAAATGATACTGAATGCACTTAATCTTTACTATGATGGGATTAACTTCTAAAAATATGTTTTGCTTAATGCAATAAATTAGGGATACCAGCAAGGACAAAAAATAATAATAAATAAATAATGGAATTATTTTAGCTTTATTAATTGTTTCGGTTTATGTTGTTCAGTTTTTTGTAGGATTTCGTAGGGTTTTGTTAAGTACTGTTTATTAATTGCTTTCTTTTTTTTATCCCGTACGAAGAGCACTAAAAAACAAATTGTACCTATATTACTCAGCTTGTCTAAAATAGAAATTTAATTCCGGAAATCTAAGTATGTTTAATTAATGTTAGAACAAATAAAACAAACACAGTTTTAGATTACTTTACAATATTTTAATTGCATTTCATTAAGCTAAAAATAGGAATTTTGCAAAACCAAATTTTGTAAACGAGGATTGATGAAATAAAAGTTATATATATATATATACAGTAGAAGTCCGATAATCCGGCACGTTCGGGACCGGCTCGGTGCCGGACTCCCGAAAATTCCGGTCTATCGGGCGGTAATTATACGAACAATTAGGTTAATAATTAAACTAGCAAATACATACAACAAAGTTTATTTTACATTTCATATAATGTATGTATGCGTATTGTAAAACATATTTCACCTAGATTTAAAAAAAGTCACGAATGTCTTTTTGTTTTCTTGACTTTTGGCATTTTTGGAGTGTTGTATTTTTTACCAGGTTCCAAGACAGTGCAATAGCATAGACGGCATCTTTTACTGTAAACTTTTTTTGAAAATCAGTCACGTCACAGTCGGCATTTAACAGGCCTTGAATAAAAGACCTTCTATAAAAGCATTTAAAATTTTGAATAACCCATGGGTTGAATCAAAGATGTTACGTTAGGTGGGAGCAGAGTAGCAACAATATTTCCAGAAACTGACTCATCTACTGGCGGGTGGGCTTTGCAATTGTCCAAAAGAAGGATGGCTTTAGNATTCTTGCTCATTCCTTATTATTGGTATATATATATATTACTACGCATTACATACAGATACATTGTCTTAAGTAATTTGAAATACATTTCAAATAGTTAATGCACGAAATTTTTTAAAACTGAATGATGTTTAACGATTTAAATGATAAGAAATCATGTAACAAAATATAAATTTCAATATCTTATAAAATAAATATACTTTCAACTCTTATAATGAATAAAAATTAACACAGTTTTTTAAAATTTTTTCTCCTATTAGCTCAATCAACTTCCATTTTCGCTCAATAAGAGAAAAGTTTTTTCTAGGGAATGAAACATACCTTGAAATTTTGTATTTCCATTTCTTTAATAGAGATTTGTAAGATCTTTATATTAATTCGTGATCTTTATATTAATCTGTACACCTTCTTGCTATTTTTGGAAAGGAATCTAAATTTGCACAGAGAAAGAAATTCTGGTACAATTACCGTAGTGTATGGTAATGACATATCTGGTAAAAAAAATTCGCCCTTCAAGAAAACATTTTAGAATAATTTTAATTTTGAAAATGACCAAGGGAAATAGTAATTTTTATGGTAAAAAAATTCTTCATTTAACAAAATATTTTTTCATAGTATATATTCATATACAAAATATATTTTCATAATATATATTCATATGCAAAATATTTATTTTTAGAAAAGACTAAACGAATAGTTATTTTATTTATATACAGAGAAATAAATTCCGGTAAAATTGCCGTGCTGTAGAGCAATAAAATTCCTTATGAAAAAATCCCCATAATTCTGGTTAATATAACCATAATATACGGTATTTCAGTCATTCTTTTGGTAATTTCTCCGTTCATAAGATAATTGTTTACCAGAAATTCTGGTTTTCAAAATTTTAGTTCTTATTATCGGAAATTTATTAAAGAATACAAAATTGAAAAGTTAATTTAACAGAATAAATGGTTTATATGCCATGATATTAGGTATCATGACAAAATTACAAAATTGTATCAAATTTACCAAATTTTAATACACGTTATAAAGCCATATTTTATTGCTAATTCTACCAAAATTGTAACTTAAGTACTTCGAGAAGAATTATATAGCCTTTTGTTGATCCCAGGAGCCAGAAAAGCGGTAAATTTTACCATATTCTAGTAATTTTGACCGCACTTTTTTTCTCAGTATGTACATATTCAGGATGGTCCTTATGAAATACCATGCATACATTTTGTAAATATTCACACTGTAGTACAAAAAAATAATTATAGTATATACAACGAAGAGCCATTACATTATGACCACCCTCTATCTATAACAATGGGCTCGCCCAGGTTTTCATGGTTTCTCGCCCAAGAACAATGTTTTCATGGAGCACATTAGGACCCATAATCCTCATAGAACAATCCCTGACGTCTGCAAGCTTCTTGAACATAGTTGCAGACCAGGTTCACCCATTCATGGGAACAGTTTTTCCTGTGGGGGATGGTGTTTACCAACAGGATAATGCACCATGTCATATGGGTCGAATCGTCATGGATTGGTTCGAGGAACATTTCAGTGACTTTGAAGTCATGTCTTGGCCCCCAATTTCACCTGACCTTAATCCAATAAAGCCTTTGTGGTCCTACTTGGAAAACCAAATTTGTGCTGCCACGGTACCCACTCGCAATGTGAGGGAATTGCAGAACCAGTTGGTGAGCGCTTGGTACCAGATACCTCAGACTACCTATCAGCACCTTGTGGAATCAATGCCACGGCCGGTGTCAGCAGTTTTAAGGGCTAAAGTTGGTCCTACATGTTATTAGCAGGGTGGTCATAATGTAACGGCTCTTCGGTGTATATGTGTGCATGTGTGTGTGAGAATTTGTGACTTCGTGACATTTTTACAGTGAGTAGTTTTTTCCAAAAATCGGCTACTCTTCTTGATTCTTAACAGTTAGTCTGCTTGATTTCAATTATCGACTGCCAGTCTTCTTGATACACATTTTAGCATGAAGCTGTTTATTTTTTGCAAGCGTAATTCTGCACTTGAAGCTAAGTTTCTAAACAATGCTGAATTCTTATTACTGACTCCATACATTAATTCTCTGTAAGAGAAATAGATAAAAATACAATCCAGTGCGCCGTAAACATAGGGAGTAGCAGATTTGGTATCCACTTGTACCAGATTCTTAATTGTTGTTTTTGAGCCTGATTCCAGGATATTTATGGCAGTTTCTGGAACTATGGCGAAATCTATAAAGGCTGAAGACTTCGACAGCTCTGTTACATCAATTACGTCAATTCTTCCAGTTCTGAGTGTAATTTTCGGAAACAGGTCTTGTATCAAATTTCTATTGAAAATAAAAAACAACAACATTATTTATCAAGGAGAAAAGAAATGAATATTAATTGGAATTAAAAATGCTAATTTTAAACCTCTATAGAGTAGGTATCTACATGAACACAGATTCAAAAACTATACATTGAGAACTAAAAATTTGGAATACCTTGCATTTAATTTTACTCTTATGCAAATTAGAGGCAATAATCCAGATAGTTTCATTGTAAAACCGCGAAAATATCTGGAAGACTTTTCTTTTAAAAATAATAATTTAGTTTTTTTTGTATATTTTTGACTACAATGCTTATATGCTTCTACAGTGCTTACTTAATGGGAATGTTTCGGTAAAATTATGCTTTTTTGAATTAAGAAAAAATTGCATTGTTTTATTATAATGCAAGCTATAGAATATATGTTGGTCATTCATATGTAGGTTATTCATACGTTAGTTATTCGTTCATTTTGTTGAATTTGATTTAAATGCATTAATTTTTTTTCCACTCAGCAAAAAATGGATGAGGAAAATTAGTCAAGTTTTCAAGAATGTCCAATTTTCTGGTTTTCATATACAATCAGGACCAAAAGTACCCAGCACCCACCTAGAAGTGGGTCAAAGCATAAGGTGAAACGTAACACGTAAAGTAAAATAAAGCAAAAAGTAAATAGTTAAGAAGCAAAGCAAACTGTATAAAGTAAAGCGCAATGTGTAGAGTAAAGTATGAACTAAAGTAAAGCGAAAATAAAGTGAAGCGTAAAGTTTGAAGTAAGTAAAAAAAAAATTGTTAAGCGTGATATGTTAACTACATTAAAACGCAAAGCGTAATATAATAAGTAAAATAAAGGGGAAAAAAGTAAAAAAATGGAGTAACAGAGAATAAAGGGAAGTAAAGCTTAAAGTAAAATATAAAATATAAATTAAAGTGTAAATTAAGCTACAGTATAGTGAAAAGAAAAGTGAAGCGTAAAATAAAGTAAAGCGTAGAATATCAAGTACAGCACAAAACAAAATAAAATGTAAATAAATGTATAGCGTGAAGGATTATGTAAGACGTGAAGTATGAAGTAATGTATAAAGCAAATTGTAAAGTAGAGTGCAAAGTATAAAGTAAAATTTCAAGTAAAATTTAAAGTTAAACGTAAAGTACATATAAAATAAAGTGCAGCAAAAGGAAAAATAAAATAAATAAATAAATATTTGTTCAGTCCAAAGAATTAACCATAATTTCGCGTAACAGTGTAATTATTCGGAATCAAAAGAACTACCTAAAAACCGATTTTTTAAAAATTAAAACAATTTGATAATTTTGCAATAACTATTTCAAAGCGCATTTTGTTTAATTCCTTATTAATTAATTCATACTTATTAAGCTTTGGGTCACCAAATGTACCACTCAAATTTATTCGAAAAATTGTGACTTAAGGTCAGTTGGATTATTTGTGGAGAATTTGTGAAGATTGTGAAATTTTTAACGAATAACTATTTAAAACACTATTTTTAAAATGGTTACCCCTGTTTAATAAATTGCAACAATCTATATTGCATTTTATTGTCATTAAAACATGAAGTTATTAAACAATTTTGATTACGAAGTAGTTTTTAAGAGCGTTTGCCATCAAGAACATTTATTATAAGAACTTCACGGACAAAACTTTGCCTGGGAAAAACTTCAAGTTGACAAAATTTGACGTGGACTAAACTTCGCGTGGGCAAAACATCGTGCGAATTCACAGCAAATAAATTTTTCCCTATGCAAAATATAGTATCTTTTTCTAATTATTAGTAACAATGAGAGGGAAGCACTGTATAATAAAAAAATGATGATTTTTTTAAATTAAGAAATGATATTTTAAATTAATAAAGAAACTATTACTGATGAAAAGTTTTGCCCACTTCATATATCGTCTTGTTTTATGAACGTAAGATTTTCGTACATTTCTCTAATTTTTAACATATACTTATTTATGTAGTTTCAATAGACGTTGCATATAAAATAAACAGTGTCAACTCAATATTTATTTGAAACATTTTATTTCTATGAACATTTCTTTCAATCCCTTCATTAATTCAAACTGCACTAGATTTGCGCGCTGTAAAAAAGGCCAATATTTTTTTTCTGAATAATTAAGGTAAAATTAGATTTCAAATTCAGCTATTCGTAACTTAATATTTTGCAGCACAAATTTTGTAATATTCCAGTTTTGTTGAAAGGCCTGGTGATATATTCTTATGAAATTAAAACTATTTATATTTGGGCACATAAGCATTGGGTACATTTTCACCTGAGCAACTGTAATGTTATTTGATTTAATCAAGTTTTTGCCTTCAAGGAAAAAAAAGATCGAATTTTATTTTTTAATGAGAATTTAGGTAATATTTAAACATTCTTTACACTCTTTTATTTGAAACACTTTGCGATTTCCTACTGTTAGCTCATTAATTGCAGCTGTCCGTATTGATTATTAAATATATTTGTCGTGGTACTGCATTTACTGTAAACATTATAAGATCAGTTTTACCAAATTATATTCATGATTTTTCTCAAAATTATAGAATATGCAGTTTAATATTTAAATGGCTAATATTTAATTGATTGTTTAATTTAAATTGAAAGATGATGCATTGAATTCATTTCCATGCAATATAATTCCATGCATTTCTAATTTTCACATGAGGACTATTTTAATGAAAAAATTATCCAAATAAAAGAAGTTAAATTTATTAATTAGTGTAAGTTTTCGATAAAATTACGATATGATTAAAATTGTATCATATCAAAAATGTTAAAGAATTTAAAAAAAGTTTTTTTTAAAATTGTTTAATAAATCTTTGCTAAAAAGCTATTACACAGAAAGGAGTTGAAAATTTTAGATCAGCGGCATTTTGTCCACGCGAAGCTATGGGTCGGTGAAGTTAAGTACCCACAAAGTTATAGAACGGTGAAGTTTAGTACCCGCGAAGTTATGGCTCGACGAAGTTTTATACCCATGAAGTTATGGATTGTCAAAGTTGTCGCCACAAAATTTTGTCCAGCGAAGATTTAACCGCAAAGTTTTGACCCGGAATCCATTATTCTTACCTTTGGTACCATTTCTCTCCCAATGTGCTTGTACTAAATGTAAAAATCTTTGTCAAAAAGTCAAATCTTTGGAGCATGAAAGGATTGGTAATTAATGCTGATGCGTAGAGAACAGCGAACGTTTTAGCTCTAGCACTGTGATCCGATAAAGTTTTTTCAACTAAATCCACAATTCTGTCATCCCATTCACAAAAGTAAGCGCTCTTCACCTCCTCATTCATTTCTTTCGATTGATTAAAAAATTCTTTAATTTCTTCCAATGATTCTTTACACCTTTGGGTGGTTTTCAAAAGTTTTCGCAAAACCCACCATGTACCCATTCTTTGTCCAATTGATGTTAAAAATCTCAAATATATAGATTGCGGAACACAATTCCAAAACACATGAGATATCATACCCAAAACTGGGTTTGTGTCATAGGCCTGATTTGTCAAATTTTTGGATAACTCATTATTAAAAATCATATCGATGTTTTTAGCTAAACTAGCCATTGAACTAAGTAAACTGACAGATTCAGATATCATAGAAATATAATCAAGTTTTTGACTTGTAGCTCTGAACACCATTATGAGTTCTGTCAGATTTCTGGAATATGTATTAATGTTTCTTAATAACAGGTTTGTGGTTGTGGTAGGTATATTAGCGAAGTTTCTTTCTATTTCGGAGTAGTAATCGTCGTAAATGGTCATTTCATGTCTCATTATCTCATACATAAATTGAATTCTGCTAAGTAGTTCTCTGTCGTTGCAAGGTTCTTCGTTTCTACTGAATTCCAGTATTCCTTGATTATGCAACTGTATTTCTCTTACTGTGTTACCGGAAACCTATAAAAATGTATTATTTAATAGATTAAGATATGTTCGATATGAAAAAATATTACTACAATATTACAGTAATTAACACAAAAAGAGCTAAGATAATGAGAGAAAACAACTATTTCCTCCTGTATAATATAATTTTAAACGAAAGTTACTAAAATATAAATGACTAAGCTAAAGATGGTTCTTTACAATGTATATGTTGCCCACAATGTACCAAATGTAACTCACAAATCTTCTGCAATTTATACAATGTAAAGTAGTAAGGTATATAATAATTCTCAAATTTCATTCTTTGTTCTAAAATGCCAACCAATTTAATATATATATACATATATATATATATATATATATATAAACACAAACGAAAAAAATAATATAAAAATGAAATAATATAAAAAAGAAAATTATAAATGGGAAAAAGCCAACAGTCTTCTTCACGACACATCTATTGGTATAATTTAATGCGATATTTCTGAATAAAGAATAATTATCCTAAGATAAAAATTATTCTTTATATGTGTCGATATCGCAAAAAATTGTTTTGTTGAAAAATAGCATGAAATGAAAGAAAGCAGTAACCAAACTTACCGCCGTGTACAAAATGCGGTTTATGTTTAAAAGTAAAATACTAATAAAACAGTTAACAAAATTCGCAAAGAGGTAAAATCTTTAAAGTTATGCTTATCGCTTGAATCGAATAAAATAAAATTAAAAAATATATTTGATCGAAAATTATTTTTTAGCAAGTAGCATATTAGTGCTGCCATCTATGAGAAAAACAAGTAAAAAATTTTAATTCGAAAAAATAATTTAATAAAACCCAAAATAAGAAGAAAATGTTTTTTATTTTATTACAACATTTAATCCCGGATAATCTGGTTATTATCATAAATGCATGGAGATTAATAAAAATTTATGCCTTTTTGATTTATATTCTAAGAAAAAAAATGAATCTACAAATAAAATTACTCAAATAACAACTACAAATAAATACTACAAATAATACTACAAATAAATACTACAAATAAAATACTCATAAAATTCATTCCTAAATAAAATTCTAACGTAATCCCGGTAAAGGAAATGAATTTTTTTTTTTTTACATGGGTAACAAATAAGCCTCAATTGCACTTATGTAAAAACAATTAGCACAATTAACACACAGCAATTAGTAGTATGTTAAAGAACACGTGAGATAAGAAGTAATGCCTAAATTATATCTGAAACAAATGAGAGGCCATAAAGGTAAAAAATAATATGTAGATAAGGTATGAGCTAATATAAAAATATGAATAAGAATAGAATAAGGTATGAACTAAAGATTCATCCATAAGCGATGTCAGTTTTAAAAGGGTGGGAGAAGGTTCGTGATACGAAGTAATGTACAAATAATATATGAAACAAATAAGAAGCCATACAAATACAAAATAATAAATAGATAAAGTATGAGCTAATACAAAATATGAATACGAATAGAATAAAGTATGAACTAAGGCTAAGTAAGGGTTTATACAAAACTGAAAAGTAAAATTTGATCTTACCATTAAAAATCAAGTGAACATTAAAACAATAAATTTGAAACAATTGTTTTAGTAAATAAAGCAACTTCACTTTATTAATGTTTTATCTTTTTAGAATACAGCAAGAATAATGGAAATTTTTAAACTGATTAATTTATTTAAAAATTCTACATACAGAAAGTCATAACAACAATTTTGCCAACTGAGCAGAAAAAAGGTAATACAATAATTACATTAAAAGTAAAAAAATTCTTAGACAATATTAAAATGCTTGATTTTTAAAACCAAAGTAATTTTTAATTATATATTAGATAAGCTTTGCAATAGATTACAGAATAAACAATTTTCACAACAAGATAGATTTTTAATTGACTAGATAATTTAATTACTAGATGAACTGTAAATAGTAATTTTCAATTAAAGATTGATTTAACTACAGTTAATAAGAAGAAAAGAAGGTTTGGACATAGCACTTAAGTTGTATCTGAAAAAGGTACTACACATGCGTTATTTTAAAAATTCTAATTTGAACTCATTATACATTTACTGAAAACATACTATAAATTAATTTGAATACTTAGGAAATTTAATTCAGCACTTAAAACGTTTTAAAGTCGTGGGACATGAAATGTTCAAGTATTAGGGAGACTGGAAAGTAATGTGGTTCCGGGACATTAAATATTCTTTAGTCTTAAAAAGCAATTCCTTTTTTTCGATCCATTTTTTATCCGGCAGTAAAAGGTTGTTGCTAACGATAGTGAATATATTATTGATTAAAAATAAAATCTCGATAACAAATATCGAATGCACCGAAACGACATTACTTTCCGGTCCCCCTTATGTTTTGAAAATATCCACAAATATTACAAGAATTAATGAACAAATAAGAAAGATGAACGGGTACGTGAATGGGTGTAATTAATAGAACTTACTTCGATATCTCTTATGTTGGCCATTCTCGTTCACCTAATAATTTAAGGAGTAACAACAAATAAAAAAAACGACGAATTCGGTAGGAATTAAATTTTGATTAACATTGAAAAAGTTGAGAAGAAAAAAGGAACAAATGTCAAAAATTATATTATCACTTGTTTCAAATTCAACCAATTAGGAGAAAGGGCGATTCTCTTCCTAGATATGAGATATCAAAAGGAATGATTTACAATATCTAATCGATTGTCATTATTTTTGATTAAAAAATAATCTACGATTCTCTACCTTCATGATTAAATATTCAAATAAATGATTATTTTTAGAAGTGCTTGAAAAATTTATTTATGTTTTTGTTGCTCTCTCTCTCTCTCTGTATATATATATATATATA